CCTTGCATGCACCTGCCCCTGGTTCGATTCCCAGCACCACATATAACCCCCAGAGTACCACCAGGAGTGATTCCAAAGTACAGAGCCAGGAGTAGGCCCTGAAAGCACCACCAGGTATGCCCCCACAAAAAGCTCCCCCTCAGGAAAAAAAAAACCCTGGAGACATTACTGGTGCCGCTCGAGCAAATTGATGAACAGTGGGGTGATAGTGATAGTGACAGTGATAGTGATCAAAATGCAAGTCACTGCTAATGATTACTTACCTTTACAGTCCTTAAATAAATCCAGGTTCTCCGTCCCCATGGGCTCCACGTGCATGAATTCAGCCAATGGTGGCTTGAAACTATTCCTGTTAGTGCTACGAAGGCCTGTTAGAGCCAAAATGCACACTTTGCTCAGCTTAGAAAGTGACACACAGTGTAACAATTATTTCCACAGGGTTAAATAATCTCCTATGACTCAAAGCACATATATATATGCATATATGTATTTTTTTTGAGGGGGAGATTTGGGCCACACCTGGTATTGTTCAGGGTTTACTCCTGGCGGAGCTCAGACTACATTGGGTATTGGATCAAACTGGCATCGACCATGAGTAAGGCAAGCCCTAAACCCCCTGTACTGTCTAAAGCATATCGCTTAAAAAAAGAAAAAAGAAAAAAAGTTGTATTTACTTATGGGAGGGGAAGGAGTCAGTGTCAAGGACGACTAGCTCAGTGACCGTTCCCGCAAGCATTTGGGGAACTGTGAGGTGCTGGGGTCCAGCCCTCGGGGCCATCTCCTCGGCCCCTGAAGTATATCGTAAGCAGAAGGTAGGAAGACCAGGACACAGGAGAGGGCCGGTAGTAGGGCGTGTGCCCCCCCTGTGGGAGGGTAGAGTCACTGACACTGCAGTAATCATCCCCCCCACACGCTTACCCACAGTGGCCGCAAGAGAGATGAAGTGGAGGCAGGACATGTGCAGGCCCAAGGCAAACACGAGGCTCTTCAGCAAAAGGAACTAACGCAGTCAGAGTCTAAGGAGGGTCCTGGGACCAACGCAGGACAGACGCATAGAAGACTACACTTAAGTAAATGTGTGAGTTTAACATTTCACTATGGGGGCCTGAGAGAGCTCGTTGAGGAGCTGGGCCTGCGGGAGGCTTGGGTCAAACCCTGACTGAAGGGTTCCCGGGGTACCACCCGCAGAGACTCCTGAGCACAGACCCGAGAGGAGTTCCTGAGCACTGATGCCCTAACAGAACAAAATAACATTTAAATACAAAATCAACCTTTAAATATGAAATTGGCCAGACTTCAGGGTTTTGTGTGCTTACCTGGGGGGGGGGGGAGGGGGGAATCAGCAGTCTTTGGGAAATGTCTTCCTGTGACTTTAGAGGGGCAATCCCCAAAGTGATGTGGTCTGGGGGTTCTCTGTAAATGTCAGGTGCTCCCCAGCAGCCTGCAGACGTGTTCAGGGGCCAGGAGTCTGAGGGGGCACAGGGGACCATTCCACATCTGGGAACACTGAATTCATTCCTCTGTGCCCTTTGCGGACCACCCAGGGAAGGACGCTCAGATCAAGACCACGGGCAGTGTCCAGGGAAATGACTGTATCCGGAAGAGAACCTTCTTCTTCTCCATCCCTTCTCCTGGGACCGTCCTGACGCATTCCTTTGTATTTCCCAACTCTCTGCCCACTCCCTCCTAGAGAAAAAAAGAGCACCAACAGACCCAGGCCCCTCAGACTCCTCCCCCAGAGCTGCCTGTCTGCTGGCACCTGCCCAGAAAGTTCTCTGAGCTGTCAAAAAGAGCAACCTCCGGGTCTCTGGGTCCCTAAAATGAAGCTGATGGGGCAAGGGAGAAAGCACAAAGAACCGGAGCACACGCTGTGCAGGTGGGAGGCTGTGGTTTGGTTCTCGGCACCGCATAGTCCCCCAAGCACAGCCAAGTGACCCTAAGAACCGTCAGACCAGCCTAGCCCTGGAGCACTGCTGAGTCTGGCCAGAAACAAAAACTTCAATAAGAAAGAAAGAAAGAAAGAAAGAAAGAAAGAAAGAAAGAAAGAAAGAGAGAAAGAAAGAAAGAGAGAGAGAGAGAAAGAGAGAGGAAGGAAGGAAAGAAGGAAGGAAGGAAGGAAGGAAGGAAGGAAGGAAGGAAGGAAGAGGCTGGAGTGATAGCACAGTAGGTAGGGCATCTGCCTTGCTCACCAGGATTTGATTCCCAGCGTTCCATATGGTTCCCTGAGCACTGCCAGGAGTGATTCCTGAGTGCATGAGCCAGGAATAACCCCTGTGCATCTCCAGGTGTGACCCCAAAAGAAAAAAGAAAGAGAGAGAGAGGGAAGGAGAGAGGGAGGGAAGGAGGGAGGGAGGGAGGGAGGGAGGGATGGAGGGAGGGAGGGGAAAGAGAGAAGAGAGAGAGAAAGAGGAAGGAAGGAAGGAAGGAAGGAAGGAAGGAAGATAAACGTTCTGACCCCTTGCAAAGGGAAAGGGGAGTGGAGAAAAGTATTCTGCCTTTAAGTCAGGTTGAAATCTCAGCTCTTGACCCTCCCTGTGAGTGCAGGACTAAAATGGCCCTGGACCTCAGCTTCCTCCTCCGTGCAATGGGAACAGCAGTAAGAACTATAGTTTCTGGGGCTAGGGAGACGTAGCTCAATGGGCTGTGCACATGCTTTGCATGTAGGAGACTCCAGTTCAATCCCTGACTCCATTCAGCGCTGAGTGCTGCCAGGACAACCCCTGAGCACAGGGCTGAGACGGCTCCTGAGCAGGGCTGTGTGTAGCCCAATACCCCAAATAAAAGTAAAACAAAAGTAACTCAAGTAACTGTTTGTTGCTGTTTTTTTTTTAATTGTTTCCATTTTGATGGATGAACAAAAGCTAAAAGGGTTAGAAAATGACAGTACAGCAGGTAGGGTGCTCGCCTTGCATGCAGAAGACCTGAGTTCAATCCCTGGCATTACATGTGGTCCCTGAACCACCAGGAGTGATCCCGGAGCAGAGCCAGGAGCAAACGCTGTGACTGCTGGTGTGGCCAAAAACAGAAAAAGAAAAAGAAAAAAAAAAGATTTGGGGGGTGGCAGGAGGGAAAGGAAGACACTGGCGGTGGGAAACGTACGCTGGTGAAGGGAGGGCGTTGAACATTATGTGACTGAACATGAACAACTTTGCAACTGTGTATTTCATGGTGATTCGATTTAAAAGAGAGAGAGAGAGGGACCGTGACAGGATGGTCCATGCCTCATGTGGAAGAGTTTTGTCCCGGCTGTGCAAGCACCCACTGCCTCTTTGAACACCACCTGGGAGGAACAAGCCCTGATGGTCACGGCAAGAGATAGTGATTTTATAACCTGCACACGAGGACCGAGATTCAAACTCGGGCTCCCACTGTGCGGTCACGGGTGGGTGGCCGGAGCTGTCCTGATAAGGCAAGGTAGAGCAGGGGTGCAGGGCTGTGAGCTCCCGGGCTAGGGTCAGGCAGGAGGGCACACGGCTGACCTTCACCCAAGGGAGAGGCCAGGCTCCAGGGGCTGGACGTGTGGGGTAGTCACGGCTGGAGGGACTCTCCTTCCCGGGGCTGGGAAAGGGGGCAGTGAACATCGGGTGAACCGCTCTCTGGGGGCCCAGGGGCTGGGCTGGGGGCACCTGCCGACGAGGGGCTGAGACTGGGGTCCCGGGCACTTTCTTCCCTGGACATTTTCCACCGCCGGGCTATTGTGGTGGATTCCCTTATCCTCCCTCAGGCCTTTTCCGAGAAACAGTTTCTAGACAAGAGACGCAAACGAACCAAGGGCTCAATTGTTTCAGCCTTCATTATAGAACCTTTTCTTCCTTTTCTCCCCCACAGACGACACTGCTACCTCTGACCCTTCTAGGCCAGGTTCTGTGGCTGTGGCCTGTCCTGCCCCCTCGGCAGTTATACTCCCAAGGCTTCAGTCCAGAGCACGCCGGGACTGCCCGTGTCCCCACCCCACCCCAGGCAGTTGCTCCTCTGAGAAACAAGGCCTTATGTTTTTGTTTGTTTGTTTGGGGGCCACACCCAGCAATGCTCAGAGGTTACTCCTGGCTCTGCACTCAGGAATTACTCCTGGCAGTGCTCGGGGGACCACATGGGATGCTGGGGATAGAATCTGAACCTGGTTTCTTTTTGTTCATTTTTTGCTTTTTTGGTCACACCTGTTGATGCTCCAGGGTTACTTCTTGCTCTGCACTCAGGAATTACTCCTGGGATGCTCCGGGGAACATACGGGATGATGGAGATTGAACTCTGGCTGGCCGCATGCAGGCAAACGCCCTCCCTGATACACTATCCCTCTGGTCCCCCGAACCTGGTTTCTTGCCCTAAATAATTTTTTTCTTTTTGGGTCACACCCAGCAATGCTCAGGGGTTACTCCTAGCTCGGCACTCAGGAATTACTCCTGGCAGTGCTTGGGGGACCGTATGGGATGCTGGGGATTGAACTTGCACTGGCCACGTGCAAGGCAAACACCCAATCGCTCCAGCCCCCTCTTGCCTGATTCTCCGCCTTGCTGGGCAGTGGTGGCTGGAGTGGAACAGGCTGGCGGGTAAGGCAAATGCCAGCCATGCGCTGCCGCGTGTCTCCAGCCATCCAGCCTGGTGCCCTGGGCATGGCTTTATCCCGTCTTTGCAGCAGCATCCCAGAGCTCCAGGGAGCCCAGGACTCTTCATGCAAGGACATGGCTGCCCCTCTCTGCAGGCCACCAACTCTGAGGTGTGCAGACTTCCCGTCTGCGTAGTCACTCCCAGGGGTGACTTCCCCACCTGCCCTTTCCCAGCACTCACTTTTCTCCTTTGACGAAGTGTCTCTGCAGTGTCTCTGCTTTTGTCTTTTGCAGAGACACAGACAAGTTCAGTAGCCGCAGACCTAGTAAGACCCCACCCCACACACACTGAGGCCAGCGTTTGGAGCCGTGGCGTGTTGAAGAACAGCACCCCACGCTCACTGAAACCTGTGCCTGGGTTTGACTTCCACGACATCTTGTGCATGGTTCCTGGTTCTAAACTTGTGCCTGACGTGGAACCATGGACGGATAAACCTCCTAAGTGAATCTAATGAAGAACGCCAGCACTACACGGTTTCCTGCGGGGGATGTGGAAAGACACAGCCACGCTGAGCAAGGAGGGCCACGGGAGTCTATTGTCTGAAGACTCTCCTGGCCTCAGAAGGCTGCCACCTGCCGCAGTTCCAGCCCTCGGCTCTGGTCCACGCGCAGCAAGTGAATTCCTCTGTTGAAACTCGCGCACAACAAGAAGCTGGTGTCGCCCACGGCCAGGGAAGTCAGCGGTCCGGACCCGTCCAGCGACAGGGTGGAGAGGCAGGCTGGGGAAGGGAGGGCAACCGGCAGGTCAGAACCAGCGGCCTTTCGAGAAGTGCTGTGAAGTAAGCTAGTGCCATGCAAATCCAACCCGGAGAAGAGAGCCCCAGGGGAAGGACTCTGTCACTGGGACACCTGGACCCAAGGGACAGGAGAACTAGGTCAACCTGAGACTTCACTACAGCAGACAACAGACAGTGCTCCCCCGGCATGCCATTGTATGTGTATGGGTGTGTGTGTGTGTGTGTGTGTGTGTGTGTACAACATCACCCTCCCTTCCAATGCTGCCCTCAGGGACAATATTGATGGCTCCACAGGTGGAAGCAAGAGGCCCAGATTTGATTTCTGGCACCAGAGTCCCCTGGGACCTGCCAGGAATGACCCCTGAAAACCAAGCCAGGGGGCTGGAGAGATAGCACAGCAGGTAGGGCGTTTGCCTTGCATGTGGCCGACCCGGGTTCGATTCCCAGTATCCCATATGGTCCCCTGAGCACCGCCAGGAGTAACTCCTGAGTGCAGAGCCAGGAGTAACCCCTGTGCATTGCCGGGTGTGACCCAAAAAGCAAACCAAGCCAGGAGTGAACCCCTCTGTTTGACCCAAAAATAAAATTAAGAAACTGCCCTCAGTGACCTGTCCATGGACCAAAGCCCAGGGCAGGGCCGGGCCGGGCAAGGCAGGGTAGGGCGAGGAGGGTGCTTTTTAGAGGCTGATTTCTTGGGGACCTGCACCATCAAGACAAGGATAACATGGGGCCCTGACAGGCACGATGGGGGCTCCCGGGTATGCAGTCTCCCCCTGTCCCCTTGTGGAGGCTGCACGCTCCGTGGGCAGGGCGCACCGCCAGCCTTGCCTGCCTGCTCCAGGTCGGTGCTCTCCGCCCCGAAGCATCGCCCTCCTGGCCATGGTGACAGCTACACCTCCACGGCTGCAGCAGGCCCTGGCGGGTGAAGGGCTGGGGCTGCCCTCAGTGGCCGGTGAACCCCAGACGTGGCCCCACATGCATCCTCTGGGTGGGCGACCCTCTCCTCTGCTGGGAACAGAACTTGGCCTCCAGGACAAGAGGCAGGGAGGCGGCGGGGCGCTGGCCAGTCAGCTCTCTAGGAGAGGGAACCCCAGCGGCCTCCACTCGCACCCTCTGCCAACCTGCCTGCGCTGACCAAGCTACACAGCAGGAAGGGGCTCTAGGGATCCACACCAGGGATGGCTCAGGGAAGCCGCGTTCCGTGAAACATCTTTGTCTCTAGTGCCACGGCCTTATTCCGCAAAGCTTTGTAGCCAAACCAGAATAGGCAAGTCTTTTTTGACACTCTCCCTTCTCTACCTCCACCTCCACCTCACCAAGAGTGGAGGCTTCCCTTTAATCTGTGGAAACGGATTTTTAAAAGATAATTCTTGGGCCAGGGCTGTGGCTCAGAGGCAGAGAGTCATAAAGTCCTGGAATCAATCCCTGGCACCATAAAGAAAATAAAAACGACGGCTGGAGTAATAGTGCAGCAGGTATCGCACTTGCCTTGCATGTGGCTGAGCCGGGCTCCATCCCTGGCACCCCATCTGGTTCCCCGAGCACCTGCAGGTGAGATCCTTCCCCTCCCTTCTCCCCCCTCCCCCCCCCCCCCCGCTTTTTGGGCCACACCCAGCGATGCACAGAGGTTACTCCTGGCTCTGTACTCAGGAATTACTCCTGGCGGTGTTCGGGGGACCATGTGGGATGCTGGGAATCGAACCCAAGTTGACAGGGCAAACGCCCGACCGGCTGTGCTGTCACTCCTGCTCCTCAGGTGAGGTCCTTGAGTGCAGACAGGAGCAAGTCCTGAGTACCAAAAACTAAAAATGTAATAATAATACATAAAGATAATAAAATTAAAAAACAACACTTTGGCCCCAAGCCTAGGAAAGTATTTAAAAAAAATTGAAACAACAATCTGGTCCCTTCTCAGACAATTTGAGCACCACCATTCAGGGCTGATGGGCAACGTCAGGTTGAGCGTGAGTCAAACGGAAGTGTGATCTCAGGGATGGTCTGTACTGCGGGCCGGGCACACAGGTGACAGCTAACAGTCATTCTGGATCCTTGGTGTCCTGTCTTAACCCTGAGGGAACAGAGTTCTGGGGGGACACAGGTGGCTTGTACATGCTGAGTGATGGAAAGAAACCATTTTAAGGAAGACTTTGGGGCTTTCTGGACCCGTGAGAAGCACTCACAGCAGACTCCTCACCTCCAGTGTCTTCGTTCCAAATCTTCACTTTGCAGTCATGCGATGAGGTGGCGATCGTGGGCACCGAGGTCAGTGCTCTTGGTAGAAAGACACAGGAGGCGACAGTCTGGAAATGGCCCCTGTACTCGCACACTCGGTTCCTCGTCTGCCTGAGGTCCCATAACTGCAGGGCAATGACACGGGCCAGTGCATGCATTCCTGTCTCCCAAGCTCCAACTCACTCATTCACTGATACCCACCTTGCCACCCTCTTGTGATTCACCTACTCTTGCCCCTTAACTTACCCCACACATGCCCCCAGGCACTCGTCCAGACTGTGGTTATGTTAAGCATCAACTCTGCCCCAAATGGCGTGGACAGATGGATGTGCAAGAGGGATGCTCTCTTCCTCGTGGTTGGGGACAGCCTGGGGATGCCCCTTTCTATGACAGTTCAAGAGCCACCTTCCATCCACCCCGTGGTATATGTGGGCCTGGAGCAGATTCTGACTCAAGCCTGGACGCCAACCCTCAGTACAATGCCATCAGCCTCACACTGGCTGCCTCAGTGGACCACACTTGGACAAGGCTCAGGGAGAGAGTAGACTGAACTATGTCCTCCAGACATGAAGTCATGGGGCCCCATTTCATCCAGGGAAGAGTGGGAGGAGCTGGAAATGCTTAGTTGGAAGCAGAGATGCTTTATGCGCAGCCTAGGAACCAACTCCCATCAGCCCCTTACTCCAGGGGAGGTCGGGGGTGGGATCTTTCAACTTGCCGGAAAACAGAAATACTCACCGTGCTTCACTCACAGGTGATCACTGGATTAAATGAGGTAACACACACAGCATAACCAGCTACTCCCCAGTATACAATGATAAAATAGGAGCATTAACGGTTCTATTTAGATACTCGATGGTCCTTCCCCCCCACCCCAATAGTTCTGGGGCTTAAACCCAGAACCACACTCTTGACGGCTGAGCTACATCTTCTGGTCCTAGATAACCCTTGATGTTGGGGTGGAGGTAGACGAAATGAAGCCACACCTAGCAGTGTGCCGGGGTTATTCCTGGCTCTGTCCCAAGGAGTGAGCCCCTAGTGGTGCTTGGGGACCTCATGTGGCAGCAGGGATTCAAACTGGGGTTGGCCAAATGCCAGTCAAGTGCCTGAACCCCTATACTCCCCTCTTTGGCTCTCCAGGTAACCTTCAGAACTGAGAGTCTGTAATTAGGCAGCCAAGGTAGAGTGAAGGAGCGGAAGGAATCTATCCCTAGCTTCATCGCAAGAAAAGGCACGTTAATGAGGGATACAGCAGGGCTCCCGGTCAACACCGCAGCCCCCAATTCCCAGGGAGCTGCCTCTTTTTCTATGCCTGAATACACAGTGAGGGAAGGGCCCCAGCAGGCCCTTCTGCCTTTCGTACCTCTCCAGCTAGACTCTCAGTCCCATCCTCCTTCCTAGGAGCAATTCAGAGTGTCCTGGGTGAAAGCCTGAATGAAACCTCCAGTCGGCCCGGAATCCGTCCCAGGGCGGTCTGGGAGCCGAGGAGCACCGGAAGAGAGGAGCAGGCTCACTAGCAAGCAGCCCCCGGCCCCCACACTGCCTCTCACCGTGGCTTCACAGCCTTCCCCCTCAAAGCCACTGCTGCAGGAGATACACCTGTGTCCGTCCTCGCTGACCTCACAGTACGTCTGGATGTGCTGCTTGGCGGGAAAGACGTGAGCTACCTGCAGCCCCCGACTGTCCCACAATCTGGAAGAAATGACAGCAGAAGATGAGCTTGCAGGAAATGGGTTTCAAACGCATGTGCAGTAGCGCACGACTACTAAGAGTGTTGGCTCCTGGCCGCTCTGTCCAGCCAGACTAAAATGCTCCGATTGCTCTGAACAGCAGCATCCACCCAACCACCTTCACAGACGCCAAAGTGGACAAGAAGCAAAATGAAATGACAGCCCAGGACGTTAAGTTGTGCCAGGGAATTTGCCAGCTTGGTCATTTGAGACGATGCTTCCACGGGAGTAAAGTCTATTTCTGTGCCTATGATTCAAGCTTTTTTATTTTTTATCTATTTATTTGGTTTCTGGGCCCCACCCAGTGGTGCTCAGCAGTTACTCCTGGGTCTACACTTAGGAATTACTCCTGGAGGAGCTCGGGGGAACCAAAGGAGACGCCAGGAATCAAACCCGAGTTGGCAGGTACAAGGCAAGCACCCTGCTCTGGCCCACAAGTTTATTTCTTAAGACTTATTTTATTTTCCAGTTGTTTGGACCACACCCAGCAGTGATGCTCAGAGGTTACTTCTGGCTCTGCACTCAGGACTTACTCCTAGTGGCGCTCAGGAGACCAAATGGGATGCCAGAGGTTGAACCTGGGTCAGCTCCATGCAAAGCAATACCCACTCTATTTTATCTCCAGTCCCAAAGTTTACTTTGTTGAAGGTATTTATAATAATATAGAGAACTGGGCATCATTTCAGAGTTTACTTGGAAAGATGTCGTGGCCCTGGCCACCCTGGGCCATGGGACCCACTAAAATATACCCTTTGTCTCATTTCTAGTTTCTTGTCTCGTTCTCGACATTTTCTAAGTGAAATCTCATGAGATCCAAAGTTTCCAGTCATGCTTTCTAGGCTAGAAATAGTTTGCTTCCTTCAGCTTCCTTGACTGTGATTCTGACCCCACGTGACAGACAGCCTTAGGAACCAATCGGGAGTAGCACATAGAGCCAGGCTGACTGAAGGAACCTGAGCTTCCTCTGGACAGGGAGGGGCGGCTGACTCATGTACCCTGAGATGCCCAGAACCAGCATTGAGCCTCTGCCACTCAACTGCTCTCCAGGTGCCTCAGGCCAGATCACGGAGGCCCCAGCTCCACCCCCAGCCAGGACCAGGGAAGGGCACAGTTTTATGGTGAAGGGGAGTGGGAACAGAGCTGCAAGCTTTCCCTAGAAATACAGTCACTGCCACAGAAGCCCACCTGAGGGTTTTGTCCTCTGAGGTCTGCAGTAAGTATGGCTCTCGGGGAACCCAGCACAGGTGAGTGACCTGGAAGAAGTAGAGGTTTCAGTGTCTCCATCCCAAGCCACTGCCCTGTCGCAATTCTCGTAAAGCTAAAGAGCCTCTCACCCACCTTCTCTGAAAACTGACCTCATGCACTGGACTTGGGTGAAGCTCATGGGCAGGGATACCCACCAGGCTGGCACATTTGGTCTGCATCTGCTGGTATAGTAGTGAGGCCCGGTGTGGGCTCCAGAATACCCACGGGCACTCTCAGCATGTCCAAAACCCTGATGTGTGCCAGTCCTGCTGGCTGGATGCAGCGCAGGAGACAGGACAGCCCCTGCTGTAAGATGGGGCACTAACCCCCACCCCCATCCCCAGCTGAGGCCACCCTAGAAAAGTGTCCTTGAAGGAAAGCCTCTTCAACAAGTGGTGCTGGGAAAACTGGACAGCTACCTGCAGAATAGTAAACTCAGACCTCTGTCTAATGCCAGGCACAAAAGTCAGATCAAAGTGGATTAGAGACCTCAATATCCATAAGGTACACGGAGGAAAACGTAGGCAGAACCTCTATGACACTGAAGCTGAAGGTATCTTTAAGGATGAAACACCACTGACCAAGCAAGTGGAAACAAACATAAACAAATGGGACTACATTAAACTAGGAAGCTTCTGCATGTCAAAAGAAACAGTGACCAAAATCCAGAGAGTGCCCATAGAATGGGAAAAATGATTTACCAACACCCATCAGATCAGGGGTTAATATCCAGGATATACAAGACATTAGTAGAATTGTAAAAGAAAAAACCTCCAACCCCATCAAAATATGGGGAAAAGAAATGAACAGAAACTTCCTCAAAAAAGAAATACAAATGGCCAAAAGGCACATGAAAAAATGCTCTACATCACTAATCATCAGGGAGATGCAAATCAAAACAATGAGATATCATCTCACACCACAGAGACTGAAACATATCAAAGAGAACAAGAACAACCAGTGCTGGCACTGATGTGGGGAGAAAGGAACTCTCTTTCATTGTTGGTGGGAATCCTGACTGGTCCAGCCTTTCTGAAAAACAATATGGCCATTCCTTAAAAAACTAGGAACTGAGCTTCCATACGACCCATTCAATATATATATATTCCATATATATTCCATATATATTCTTATATATATAAGGTCCACTTCTGGGAATATATCCCAGAGGTGCAAAAAAGCACAGCAGAAATGACATCTGCACCTGTATGTTTATTGCAGCACTGTTCACAAGAGCCAGAATCTGGAAACAACCTCAGTGCCCGAGAACAGGTTAGAGAAACTTTGGTACATCTACACAATGGAACACGATGCAGCTGTTAGGAGAGATAAAGTCATGATATTTGCAAGTTTTAAATTTATAAGTGGATGGACATGGAGAGTATCATGCTAAGTGAAATGAGTCTATAGAATGACTGCACTCATTTGTGGAATATAAAGTAACATAATATGAGACTAACAACCAAGGACAGCAGAGACAAGGGCCAGGAAGACTGGTCTACAGTTGGAAGCCTGCCTCATGAGCTGGGGGAGAAGGCAGCGGGGATAGAGAAGGGATCACTGAGTCAACGATGGTTGGAGGGATCGTTCGGGATGGGAGATGTGTGCTGAAAGTAGATAAAGGACCAAACGTGATAGCCTCTCAGTATCTGTATTGCAAACGATAATGCCCAAAAGTAGAGAGTATGGGGGAAGTTGTCTACCATGGAGGCGGGGGTGGGGTGGGATGTGGGGGTGAGGGAGGGGGAATACTGGGGACACGGGTGGTGGAAAATGTGCACTGGTGGAGGGATGGGTGTCCGATCATTGTATGACTGAAAGTCAAACATGAAAGCTTTTTAACTGTATCTCACAGTGATTCAATTTAAAAAAAAAAAAATGTTTTTGTTTCTCTATATCTCCAGAGCCCCCTGCTGGACAAGCACAAAACTGTTTCCAAAAACCAACCCAACTGGATTGCCTCTAGCAAAGCCCACACACAGGGAGGGCATAGGGCAAACACACCAGGCCGCTGGGAGTTGTTTTCAAAATCAGACAAGCTGAGGTCTCAGCTGTGGCCAGTGGCAGAGCACCTGCCTCGCGTGTGTGAGGCTCTGGCTGCAATCCCGGGCACCAGCCAGGGGAACCGGCTGTGGTCTTCGAGTACCAGTCCACTGCCAGGAAATTCCAGCCTGGAAACCAATCACAGAAGCAAATCACACCTCTCAAAAAAGACCCCACTTGTTTCCCTGCCTCGTTACCTGTGCATAAGCCATGAGGTTTCGAGGACAGAGCCCTGTTCCCCGGCCCACAGCCCTGCTGCCCCAGCACTCAGCACAGGGCCTGGGCACAGAAGATAGGGAACACAGTGGGCCCGCCTCCCCTGTGGAGGTCTCAAGAGAGGAACTCTAAGCCCAGGGTGTGCTGCATGCAGTAGACCTGGGTTCGATCCCTGGCACCGCAAAAAAAAAAAAAAAAAAAAAAAAGAAAGCAAAGAAAAAGAAGATATTTTAAAGACACGGTTACAATTGGTCTATTTTATTGTTACCTATTGCTTGTCATCTCTTGCTGGGCCCAGTTTATAAGTTAAATTTCATAGCAGGTTTGTACACACGTAAAAAGAGAAGGCATGGATAGGGGTCACATGCTATCCATGGCTCCAGAAATGTTCTGAGTGTCTTGGAACATCTCCCCCTGGGCGTGTGGTTGGGGAGGGGTGGGGGGTTCCATAAGGCTATTTTGAGGGAATAAAATAAGGGCATCATTTAAAATTCTTACATAACAGGGCCAGAATTGTTCGAACCCAATCACCCTCGAGGCGGGGGCTACAGAGGCTCAGCAGGAACTGACCCAGGCCAGGAATGCGCTCCAGTCCCTCCCTCCGGGGGCCCTGCCCTCCCCCCCACGCCCCCTTGCCCGCCCTGCCCGGGCAGTGCCTACCAGGTTCCGGGAGACGGACGCGCTCCGCACGCACTGGCCGCGCCCCACGTCCCAGAGAAGCAGGGTGTTGTCCCGGGAGCCCGAGCACAGCTGCGAGGAGTCTGGGGGCAAGGGCGCGGGGACCCCCGTGAGCGGGGCCCAGCGGGCCGAGGGGCGGCGCCGGGCCGCGGGAAGGGCTCTGCCCGCCCGTACCTGGACTCACGGCCACGCCGGTGACCACCAAGGCGTGGCCCAGCAGCTGCTGCAGGGGCGGCCCCGGGCGGTGCAGGTCCCACATCAGGACCCTCCGGTCGCGAGAGGCGCTGAAGAACTGGTCCGACCCGGAGCCGAGGGCGATCTGCGCAAGGACAGGGACGAAAAGGCTCCTGCACGCCCCTCTTGTTTGTTGGGGGGCCACACCTGGCAGCCTCGGGGTGCGGGGGAAGCCCTCCGGGCTGAACCCAGTGACACAGCGATCACATCAGGTCGTGCCTGGGAGCGACCCTGGGCTGGCGGCACGGAGGGCAAGTGCCCTACCCGCAGGGCATCCCTGGCCCTCGATCGGACTTTCAAATGGGCAGGTCAGCTGAGAGTGGGGGGGGGGGGATGCATCATGTTCTCTCGGTGCCGTTCAGGCACCTTCTTCGGCAAGTAAACACCGAGTCCTGCGCAGAGGACCACAGCTGACGTCTAGTTCCATTGTTAAGGAGCGTGCCTCTTCTGAATTGTAGTTTCACCTTGGAGGAGGTGTCTAAGTCTCCACGTGCTCTTGTCATTTTCCTGGAAGCTCATTTCCACTCCCCAACGCCACTTAACAGTATTTGTTCAGCTACGGTTGACCTTTTGCACGTTTCCCCAAAGGAGGCCAGAGAGATACTACAGCGATTAAGGAGCTCACTTTGCACGTAGCTAGATCCCGAGCACTGAACAGCATCCCCAAGCACTGCTGGCTATGCCTCCCCCACATACACACAAAAAATCCCTCTACTAGTCTAGAAGGTTCCTGAGCATAGAGCTCTTTGACTGTTCTACGTATACTAAACACACAAGTTTTGAATATGGATGACTACCAAATTAGGGAAGTCTAGAGAGCTGTTCTCTCTCTACCATCTGAGCTAGTAAGAGCTAGCTAACAAAATAGGCCTCATATCAGATACACCAGCAACAACAGCTAGGCCAGAGGTCTGCTTTTCCTGAAGTAGGGCTTTAAGGCATGAATGAAGCTGCAGGCATTTTTTTTTTTTTAAGATTTTTAATTGTTTTTTAAGGGTAAAGGTAAAGGTAAAGGCCCTCCCGTTGATCATCGATTTGCTCGAGCGGGCCCAGTAACGTCTCCATTGGAGACTTTGTTGTTACTGTGTTTGGCATATCGAATACGTCTCGGGGAGCTTGCCAGGCTCTGCCATGCGGGCGAGATACTCTCGGTAGCTTGCCGGGCTCTCCGAGAGGGGCGGAGGAATCGAACTCGGGTCGCCCATGTTGGCTGCGTGCAAGGCAAATGCCCTACCGCTGTGCTATTGCTCTCACCCTTAACTTTTTTTTTTCTTCAGTCACCATGAATTAGAGTTACTCATGATTGAGTTTCAGGCATACAATGTTCTGACACCAATCCACCTTCACCAGTGTCCACTTTACTCCACAAATGTCATCCAGTTTCCCTCCCACCTACCAACCTGTTTTATAACAGGCACTCGTTTTTTGTCTGGAGTGTTGGGTCACACCCGGAAGTCAGGGCTTACTCCTGGCTCTGTGCTCAGGGATCACTTGGGAAACCATTTGTGGTGCCAGGGATCAAACACAACATAGGTGGCTTATCTTAATCTCGGCACTATCACTCCAGCCCCAAGCACTTTTTGCGGGGGTGGGGGGGGTTACACCTGGTGATGCACAGGGGTTACTCCTGGCTTTGCACTCAAGAATTACTATTGGCGGTGTTCGGGGGACCATATGGAATGCTGGGAATCGAACCAGGTTGGCCGTGTACAAGGCAAACGCCCTCCCCGCTGTACTATAGCTCCAGCCCCCCCACCCCCAAGCACTTTAAAAACAAATTAATTTGGGGCACCAAAGTTCACAATTCTGTTATGGACAGGGTTTCAAGCATAACGCGTCAGCAACTTTCAGCAGCACCACCGCCCCTTCCTGAGTGCCCACTTCCCTCCACCATTGTTGAAGCCCAGCATTTCTTCCTTAAGACGGAATGTTGGGGGGCAGAGAGTAATAAAGAAGACAAAGGCACTTGCCTTGTGCACAGCCGAGTCGCTGTGACCCCAGCACCATATATGATCCCCAGGGCACCACCCAGTGGGGCCCAAACCTTCCCCTCCCCTCCCAAAAAGCTGTGACAGCCAATCATTCTCCAGCTTAAAGCTATTAGGGATCCCTTTACTTAGGTCCAAATTCCCTCTGGAATAACCACCACCGACAATTACCTTAGTGATTTCGCGTTCATGTCCTTTGAACCTTTTCACCACATTTCCAGTTTTCCAGTTATAGGCCACAACGGTCTGGGGAGAGTCAGTCGTTAGACGCTTTTAGTTGTGGCAAAGTCCTGCTCAGTGGGGCAGCAGCAACACGTTCCTGCATTTGCCGCTTACTCTCTCCTGCTCTGTCACGGAACTTGCACCAAGTGTCAGGGTATTTACTATTGTTCCCTCCTGCTATGCCCCCCGATCTGAGCTTCTCTCTTCTGTTCTCCTGGCTGTTCCTTGTTTCTCCCCGAGACACCAGGTCACTTCTCCGAGCCTTCCTGACAGGTCTGGACTAACTCTCCCTGGGGACCTGAATCAGGGGGGTCTTCTGACCGTAGATGCTGAAGGAGAATTCTGAGAAGGATTTGTTTCCTCCAACGTTTACTTTGATTAAAAAAAAACAAATGGAGGCTGGAGAGATGGCACAGCGGGGAGGGCATTTGCCTTGCATGCGGCCGACCCAGGTTTGGTTCCCAGCATCCCATAAGGTCCCCTGAGCACCGCCAGGAGTAACTCCTGAGTGCAGAGCCAGGAGTAACCCCTGTGCACTGCTGGGTATGACCCAAAAGAGCAAAAAAAAAAAAAAATGGTTTACTGAGTTTCTGGGCCATACCTGGCTGTGGTCAGAGATCATTTCTAGCAGGACTCAGGGGACCATATGGGAGGCAGGGGATTGATCTGGGGTTGGTCACATGCAAGGCAAATACCACACCTGCTGTACTATCTCTTTGGTCCTGATTTTTTTTTTTTACTTTTTGAATTTGCCATCTGAATCATTCTCAAGTGTACAGTTCAGAAGTCTTAAGTTATCTGCTCACAACTGTGAGGCAGATCACACAGAGTTTTGAGGGGACAGGGAGTATGGGCCACAGCCGGCAGTGCTCAGAGCTTATTCCTGGCGCTGCACGTAAGAGATTGCTCCTGACATTACTCCAGGAACCTTATGGAGTGCTGGGGATTGAACCTGGGTCAGCTGCATGCCAGGTAAACACCTTACTTGCTGTATACTATCGATCTGGTTCCATACACATATTTTTTAATATTAAAAAAAAACCTTCATAAGCCCATCTTCCAGAGAGGATCATGTTAAAAGGTTCTCCCATCCTTTTCCCAGGCATATTCTTCCCTGCTCCATCACCAGCACCTCTCCCTGACACATGGTTCTGAAAGCTTCCTCTGGCTCTAGACGTGATCTCTGCAGTTCATTGCAAGAGCAGGTTAGCACGGGACCTAGTTCTGTCCGAGTTCCTTAATCTGCCACACAGAGAGGCTAATCCCTGCCCTTGATGCCCCTCACAGGTTAGGATCACAGAAATACAATTTCATATGTCCAAGGTATGAAGTTTAAAACAAAATGTCACCCAATGAATTATACCATACTTTATCCATTTCCAGATAGCCTCATTTCAAAGGTCTGGAAAATGTGAAAACCCAGATGTCTCCTAATGAGTGAAAAACAGTATGAAAATGGAATTTGGAGATTTAACAGGCTACTGAAAAACGAGAGGGATCACTGACTGTGAAAGAATCACAATCTCTGCTGCCAGTGTCTTAGCTGTGAGTGCTCTGATGGATCCAAATATAAAGGACAGGAAGCAACCTGACTCAGAGTGACATCGGGAGGGGGGACCAGCACCTGGGAGGAAGGGAGCCAGATGTGTACCCGTGTAGACATCCGGCAAAAAAGCAGCATGAAAGCAGGAACTCGAGGCTCCATTTGCTGCCAAATCGCTCCTGTGTGTGTGTGGCAGTGCTGGGTGACTGAATTAATGTATAATCTGTCACTCACAGAAAGCCCTTGGGGTCGAGGGCTAGTGCAGGAGGTAAGACACTTGCCTTGCCTGCAGCTTGAATCCCCTGCACCACATATGGTCCCCTGGGCATTTGAGTGTGGCCTTAAGCCCCCATTCCCACTCCCAAGGCCTTTGGGTGTTATGGCAGAGAGCCAAAGACATACCATATAAAATCCTCACAACTGTCCTCTGAGGTTGGCATGATGAATGGTGCTTAACAGATAAAGAGGGGCCAGGGCGATAGCACAGTGAGTAGGGCGTTTGCCTTGCACGCGGCCAACCTGGGTTCGATCCCCAGCATCCCATATGGTCCCCCAAGCACCGCCAGGAGTAATTCCTGAGTGCAGAGCCAGGAATAACTCCTGAGCATCGCTGGGTGTGACCCAAAAAAGCAAATAAATAAATAAAAATAAAATAAAATAAAAGATAAGGATACTAAGGGTCATCAAAATTGAAGACTCGCCTGAAGGAATAGAGTAGGGATTTAACCCCAGTCTGATCCGAAAGCCCATCAGTTCACACTCCTCAATGCTGTGGCCAGAAACGCAAACCCTGGCCTGCCTTTCAAAAACGCTTCCCTTCCCTCCAGTAAGTGGGCCCCCGGGGAAGCAAACCCCACCTGGTCTTTTCCTCCAGAGACACAAAGGTCTGAGTTCAGCGCAGCCACCACAGAGACGGAATCCACATGAGCGGGGCTGTACTGCTGCAGAGTCTTTGCTGGGACCCTCTCCTCTATAATTCCATCAGGCCTGCTGGAGAGAGGATGAGAGTGAGATGCCCCGCCTTTTGTATTGAGGAGACAGAGGGAAGGGAGAGAGAAAGGAGGCTCACAGAGGTTGCCAGAATTGAGGGTGCTCTGAAAACATGCAGGGTGACCAAAAGATGGACTCTGAGAAAGGGGAATCCCCAGGAGTCGTTGCTCACGCTAGAATCACCCCCCCACCCCACCCCCCACCCCCCGCCCAATACGCTGGTTCCCGTTAGTGTGGCTGCAGACACTAACAGGCTCACTATGACCCAGAAGGAAGTAGCCCAGACTTTTGCAGCAAAGTCCCCATTCCCTGCTCTCTCTCTTGTTCAATTCACTGCAGCATTTGTTGTGGGGGCCTCGAGGGCAGTGCTGGGCTCAGGGCATGGCCAATCCTGGCAGTGGACCACCAGGAATGCAAGTCAGGGCCTCCCACGAGCCAGGCTCTGTCCCCTGACCCCCGCCCTCCACCCCTTCTCTAGTGGAGATGTTTATCCTTCATCCTAAGGCTGGGCCCCGACAGTAGAACCGGTACCTGTATTTATAAGTGCTGTATTTGAGTTTGCTTTGCAGTTTCCCCATCACAGAACAGAACCTAAAAGAACCCCGAGGAGCAGCTTGTGTTAGCTGGCACGCGGGTATTCACGTCTCTTGCGGGTACTGGAATTGTATTCCCTGTTTAGTTAAAAGAAGAATGTAAGTGGTTACTGTTTTGGTTGGTTTGGTTTGGTTCGGAGGTACAAGGGAATATTCAGGCGCTACTCCTGGCACAGTGCTTGGAGTTTGCTTCCGGTGGTGCTCAGGGGTTACCCCAGATCTGCACTCAGGTATCACTTTTGGTAGTGACCAGGGGGCCATTATGGGGTGCCGGGGATCAAGTTCAGGTTGGCTGCATGCAAGGTAAGCACCTACCCTGCTGTACGATCTCTCCAGCTCAGCTTTTAAAAATTTTATTGATTGATTGATAGATTGATTTTGGCTTTGGGGCCACACCTGGTGATGCTCAAGTGTGATTTCTGTCTCTGCACTCAGGAATTATTCCTGACAGTGCTCAGGGGACCATATGGAATGCCGAAATTCCACCCAGGTTGGCTGTGTGTAAGGCAAACACCCTATTCGCTGTACTATTGATCCAGACCCCCACCCACCCTTTTATTTATTTATTTATTTATTTTATTTATTTTATTTTTTTGAGACTGACTGTACAAGTTCGTTGCCCCTGCATCTGTAGCTCACTTTTAAATCCCTGGGACAGCATCCCTCCAATCTTTTTTATCAGCAGATGAAAACAGAAAAACAAAACTAACCTGAAAATACTAAGAGGTGGAGCTGGAGAGACAGTCCCGCCGGGAGGGTGCGTGCACTGCTCACAGCAGACCCAGGTCTAACCTCCAGGACCCTAGATGTTCACCAAGTCTCACCCGGAGTGATCCCTGAGCACAGATCCAGGAGTGAGCCCTGCGTTCTGCTGGGTGAGGGCCCAAGGGTATGGTGCTGCTTGGCTCCTGTAGCACCGAGAGTTTCCTGGGGCACCCCAGGGGTGCTCAGGAGCCTCCAGGGTTACCCCCGGTAGTGCTTGAGGCCTCCAAGCCTGTACTCAGAGATGCTTGTAGGGGACCTGTAATGGTGCTGGGGATCAAACTGGGTCAGCTGAATGTTTCTGAACCCCTGCATTGTGTCTCCGGACCTTAATCTTTTTGTTCTGGAAAGTACTGGGCCAGAGAGAAAGCACAGGGTTAAGGCATTTGCCTTGCATAGGACTCCAGTTCCATCTACAGCACCACTAGGAGTTCTAGTGAGCTCAGAGCCAGGAGTAGTCCCTGAGCTCCGCTGGGGATGGCCCCAACTACCATCAACAAAAGCATATTGACTTCCTATAAAATTATATATATTTTTTTACGTTAACATGCGATTGATTTGTTATTCTTTTTTTTCCTGCTTTTTGGGTCACAACTGGCAATGCTCAGGGGTTACTCCTGGCTCTGCGCTCAGGAATTACTCCTGGCGGTTGTTCAGGGGACCATATGGGATGCTGGGAATCGAACCCAGGTTGGCCACGTGCAAGGCAAACGCCCTACCCGCTGTGCTATTGCTCCAGCCCCTGACTGTTATTCTTAAATGAAAGTAAAGCTGTTACATTTTTTTAGTTTAGATTTTTTTGGTTTGTTTTGGTTTTTGGTTTTTGAGCACATTCCGGCTCTGTGCCCAGGAACTACTCCATTGTGCTCGGTGGACCATATGGGATGCTGGGGATTGAACCCAGGTTGCATGCAAGACAAACTCCCTACTTGTGGTACTATCTGTCAAGCCTAGAACTGTTTAATTTCTTGGTTTTATTGTCTTATAGGAGGGAACAGAGAAGAGCCTAATTTATTAACTACCTTAAATCTCAAAAATTCTTTGACATCCAAATAATTTTTTTTCTATTTTATATATTTTTTTATGAGCTGGAGAGATAGCACAGCGGGTAGGGCATTTGCCTTGCACACGGCCGACCCGGGTTCGACTCCCAGCATCCCATATGATCCCCTGAGCACCACCAGGAGTAACTCCTGAGTGCAGAGCCAGGAGTAACCCCTGTGCATCACCAGGTGTGACCCAAAAAGCAAAAAAAAAAAAAATTTATTAGTGAATCACCGTGAAGTACAGTTACATACTTATAAACTTTTGTGTTTGTGTTTCAGTCATACAATGATCGAGTACCCATCTCTCTGCCAGTGCCCGTTCACCATCAATGATCCCAGGATGTCTCCCAGCACCCCTACCCCATCCCCCCCACTCCGCCTCTGTGGCAGGGCATTCCCTTTTGTTCTCTCTCTCCTTTTGGTGTTGTGGTTTGCAATAGAGGTATTGAGTGGCTATCGTTTTTGGTCTATAGTCTACTTTCGGCACACATCTCCCATCCCAAGCAGGTCCTCCAAACACCTTTTACTTGGTGGTCCCTTCTCTATCTGAGCTGCCTTTTCCCCCCAGCATGTGAGGCCGGCTTCCAAGCCGTGGGGCAAACCTCCTGGACCTTATCTCTACTCTTCTTGGGTGTTAGTCTCCTATTCTGTTACTTTATATTCCACAGATGAGTGCAATCTTTCTATATCTGTCCCTCTCTTTCTGACTCATTTCACTAACCATGATACTTTCCATGTTGATCCACTTATATGCAAATTTCATGACTTCATCTTTTCTAACAAGTACATTGTATTCCATTGTATAGATGTACCAACGTTTCTTTAACCAGTCATCTGTTCTTGGGCACTCAGGTTTTTCCCAGGTTTTGACTATTGTAAGCAGTGCAGCAATGAACATACAAGTGCAGATAACATTTCTACTATACTATTTTGCCTCTCTGGGATATATTCCCAGAAGTGGTATTGCTGGGAACGTCCAAATAATTTTTAAGCATGAAAACAACCCTAAGGAAATAGAGTCTGAGAACTCCAGATCTAGAACTTGACCATTGTCAATAATGACCCATTGGGGGAAAGGGATTGTGGAATGTTTTCCAGATTTACTTGGATCACCCCCAACACCTAACAAAGCTGGAACTAAAGAGGAGAATGGGTTTACACCTTTAAGAGGCTCATCAATTTACTCGCTCAGTAAACAACTTTAGAGCACCCAGGTTATGCAGACCTTATTCCAGTTGCTTATGAAACAAAACAAAATAAAACTGGACAATGTGGCCAACACAGACATTCTAGCCCCAGAAGTGCTGGACTCAGGGGCAATCTCAGATTCAAGAAGTGAAACACAAGATCCAATGACAGAAGGCAAGACTTCCCAGATAGTTTTCCCAAGACTTGGGCTGTTGTACTGCTCATAGAAGCTGCAGGGATTCCTGTGCATTTTCCAACACTAGATCTAGACAGACCTAGATCTACGTCGCTGGAAACGGTTGATGCTATAAATGGATTAGCCTTACTCAAAACTGGATGCCTAATTGGAATCCACGAGAATCAGTCCTCCTACCAAAAGTGTGTGGGACATTCAAGGCACAAGGTACATCTGAGAATGACTTACCCCCAGACCTGGCTCTTCTTGGTGAGCTGCCCCAGTCGATGCTTTGTGATGTTTATCCTCTAGAAGAGAGTCGACGAAGCCACTTCCTAATCTCTGTAATTACTGAGAAAGCGCTTAATCTCTTCTTTGAACATATATTTGCACTGCTCTGGTGATTTACAAGGTAAAAAAGACCGGTTTCACGAAAATAATAGTTAAGGACCAGGGATATAGATCAACTGGCTGGAGTGCATGCTTTGCATGTGGGAGTCCCCCAAAATTTGATCCTTGGGGCCTTCATCCCACCTAGTACAGAGCCAGAATAGTCTCCGGTACCACTCGACATAACTCCAAAGCAAAAAATAAATAAAACTGTTAAGTGGATTTCCCCTTCACAAAGACTCAGTTCACAAGATTCCAAGACTGCATAACCCACACATTTCCCAACAACCAGGGAAAGCATTCCATATGCTATATGCAGGGAAGGGGGTGTTGGGCCATACCAAGGCCGCTCCTGGCCCTTGTGCTCTGGGTGATTCCGGTGGTGCTCAGGAGACCATCCCAGAGCCAGAACTCGAATCTGGGTTCAGCCACATGCAAAGCAAGTACCTGGAAGTACCCTGTATGATCTCTCCAGCCCTTAATACATCTACTTTTAAATATGAAAAAAATGGGTTATACATATCATAAAACATTTTAATTTTACTCAGAGAACTTCTTTGCATCAAAAATCATCAGGGCTGGGCTAGGGAGATGAGTCAAAGGGCTGAGACATGCTTTGCATGAGGGAGCCCTGGGTTCAACTGTCTGGGAATGTCTGGTCCCCTGAGCACTACTGGGAGCGATCAAGCTTTTTTTTTTTTTTTTTGGTGGGGGAGAGGTCACACTCTGTAATGCTCCAGGGTTACTCCTGGCTCTGCACTCAGGAATCAATCCTGGCAATGCTCGGGTTTGGGACCATATGGGAGAGCAGGGATCGAACCTGGGTCAGCCACATGAAAGAAAAACACCCCACTCACTGTCTATCACTCTGGCCCTCCACCAAGCATCTTGTCGTCCCTTCAGCACCAGTGGTTATGACCCAAAATCATAAAGGGGGGGGGGGAAGACCTGGAGAATGAGAGCAGGAACATTATTGGCTCATTACTAGACCTCTTGACTACTAACAGGTCCAGAATTTCCATCATAAACATTTACCAAGAAAGTCAGATGAGGGTCAGAGAGATCTCAAAGAGTGGAGTGCTTGCTTTGCATGCTGGAGGCTTAGAGTAAACCCTGAGCACAGAGCCAGGAGTAGTCCCTGAATACCTTGGGGTGTGGCCCCCAAACAAAAACAAAGGATAGCACAGGGGTCACTGTGCTTGCCTTGCCTGTGGCGAACCTCAGTTAAGATTCTCCGATTTCCAGTACTGCTCGGACTGACCCTAACACAGAGCCAGGGAACAGTTCTACCCACCCCTCCAACCCCGGCACCATTGGGTAGAGCCCCAAAAAAATAAGAAAGAAGGAAAACTCAGGTAGGGCTTTTGCTTTTGCTTCCTTTTGCATTTTTACAGCTCTATTTTAAGAATTCAAATATATTCTAA